TAAAGATACATAATTGTTATAGTTTTAACAAAGAGATGGTTATAACTTCAGATGTGTCTCATCATCTATAGGCCATACGGCAGTTTGGTTCTGATTTCTCGATGATACAACAACTCTTTCCTGGGCGGACACGCACACAGGTAAGACTGAAGTATAAGAAAGAAGAGCAGCGGTATCCATCAAGAGTTCTCGATGCTCTAACTACTCGTGCGAATGGTAATTAAAACATAAATTATATATGCTCTCTAGTCTCTGGTGTCAACTTGTCTGGGAGAAACTTTTAATACACTTGAAGTACGAACGAACTGTAGGCACATAAGTTGTTTCAATGATGAAAAAAGTCGCAAAAAAAACATAAAAACTAGTGTTAATTACATCTTTCAACCTCTGATGAACTGTCAAGTTTTCAAGTAGCCCTTGAGATCTATAAAATTTACAATTAAGTGCTTTAATCGGTCAGATATTCTGTAAATACTGGTTTGTTTTATGTTCTAAGAACTATAAATGTAACTAAGCGCTTGTTATATTCCTGCTCTTGGAAATTTGGCCACAACCAAGTAAATTCTGCTAATAAATATAGTATGGAAGCGATCTTTCCAAGCTTGTTAACTAATGCTATTTAATGAACTATCCTATGATACTTTTTGACGTATTAAACACCTGCGATTGAACTGATAGACCATTGTTGATGCCTTGATGGATAGAGCAAAGTTTGTTTTGGTTTCGTGCATGGAAAAATGAGACACGTATGGGACTGAAACAATCCTTACCATGACCACTGAAAAAAATGCGAAATTTACAATTATTGAAATCTGCCTGTTAGTGAATTGATGTATGCAAGTTTATATGACAAACAAGCATTACCTTGCAGATAATTCCCACTTTGAGCAAGTCATTGAGCGCTTGAAAGAAATTGCAGCTGAGGGAGACCAAAATGATGATGACTTAGATGCAGTTGTTGATTTGACTGATGAAGAGGAGGTTGGTTTTTTCCTCTATCTGACACGTGTTTTACTATTTACCTCCAGGTATTTTATATATCATGCAGCATTGGGGGGGGGGGGGGGTCTTTTGGAGCTCAAGTTGTTAATGTGAGATTCGTCATGTTACTCCCCCCCCTGTTCCATCATTGAAGCTACAACTAGGTTTGGCACATTTTTTAAAGAAAATAATGGTTGTCAGTTAGCTTACTGGTTTCCCCTTTTGAATGAGAATGCTAAAAAAGTTATGTGGTTGGAAGAGTAAAAAGTTGGTGGGGTTTAAATTATGCAATTGAATAATTACTTTTGGGATAAGACTAATGCCCCCCCCCCCCCCATTAGAAGGGATGGTGTCATATTTATTTGTTTGATGTATGTTTTTCGATTCAGATAGTTGCAAAGGAAGTGAAGAGATGAAATAGAATTTGGAAAGATCTGGTTTAACAAAACGTATACCTAAGACTAACAAGAACAATCCTCAGATACCTCCCCTTCAAAACCTCCCAACCAAACAAGCCCTATAGTTGTTTCATACTTTCATAGTTCAAAAGACAGTTTCTATCAACTAAGTCTAGATTCACACCATTTGCTGCTTTTTATCAGGGGCAGAAAGAAGAAATGGAGGTGGAGAACACTATAGTGGAAAATGAAGTCCAAGATACAGATCAAGATGTTGTTACTCAAGTTCAAACTGATGTGGCTGAAGAGGTGGAGGAAGAAGAGGTAGACGAAGATATATGGAGCCAGTATAGGAGTGAGGATTGATCCACATATACATACCATTAGCCCCCAGCTAAAGCTTGAGTGGTGTTTTTTTTCAGAAGAGTTCATTTTTTGGTAGTTCATCATATAAACTAGTGGCTGCCGTTTTTCCTTTTTCTGTGTCAAAAGTAGCAATGGGTATTTTGTGCTTACTGTTAACATACCTAAATTGCTCTTTAGCTATGGCGCCAAATTACAATACTATTATGTTCAAGTTCTATTACATCAGTGTTTAATCAATCATAATTCTAATGTTATTGTTATATATAAGTGACTTAGATTGTTGTAAATAAATTGTAATAAAGTGATATGAAAATATTTACATTACGTTTCGTCGAAAAAGATTGTGACACGTTTCGAGCTTTTTTTTTAGATCTTGATTTCGCTAGACTAATCTTGAATTCTCAAACTCTCCCCAACCTCTTGAGTTGAGATGAGTAAAATTTGAGTTTTCACCACCATGCACATGCTTGCCACACATAGGGGTGGACAAGTCCATTTATTGGTCTAAAAAGGGTGGAGATTGGACTCCAGTCTCGGGCCGGGCGGCCCGACCCGGAACCGGCCCGGCCCGGTTATTGTTTGGCCTGGCCCGGGGCCCGGTGGGTCCAGCGATTCGGTTTGGCCCGGCCCGGGTGATGGGCGGTCCGGGCTCGGGCCCTGCTTTAGGTGAACCGGCTCGGCTGGTTCGGGCCTGGTCTGGGCCGGATTTTAATATTTTTTTTTGTAATTTTTTTAAGTTTTGGGTTGGATTAGGTATTTTGGGCCATTTGAGGTGGTTTGGGGTTGAGGGGGAGGGGTAGGGGGTTAAATAGGAGAACCAAAAAAAAAAAAAGAGGCCCGGTTTGGCCTGGAACCGGCCACCGGCGGTTTGGGCTCGGGCCCCAGTTTTCTGGCCCGGGGCCCGAACCGAGCCCGAACCGGCCCGAGTCCAGCCATAGACTGGAGACAGGTTGAAAGTTTTTTTGAGCGCCTCTGCTTCGGCCATTTCTTTTTACTAGTAGTTCTCATAAATTTTCACACTTTTGGTCATTTTTTCAGCTTTCTATTTTATGGATTATTTTTTAGGGTGAAGTATAGATGATGGTTTGAAAAAATGAAATGAGTAAAATAAGTGCTTTTTTTTTGATAGAAATCGGCTTAGATAACAAATAAAAGTTAAGACTATGGGTCAACTGACAAAGAGAAAAAAGATAACCGTCATCCCTCGAACCAGACTCGAGATTAATCGCCGTAGCAATATAATTCGCTGATCCATAACCGGGAAACAATAAGTCCAACTTGGTTACCAAATTCCTTTCATCCCTCACATCCAAAAGACCAAAACCAATGCCTTACAACCCAGAACATTAAACCAGAAACAAAACCAGCAACAAACTCTAAAATTAACTAAAAAGAGAATAAAACACCAAAACAAGCAACCATCATGCTGCCAGGAGATAAGAACCAGGCCACCATCATTCGGCCTCAAGCCTTCAACCAGTATATTTGCCGGGCTTAAGGAACTAAACCCGCCACCTCCCCATTTTTTGCTCCATCAGTGGCCATGTTATCCTCCTCTTGATCTTCCTCTGACCGGGCTTCCCAGATCTTCCTTCTCTTTGAGGCTTCTTCCTTAGGCGTCCCCCCTCCTTGTGTGGAGCTGTGAGCGGATTCTGTCCCCGCCTCCTTCTTTGGACCAGCACCCGATTTGCCAGAGCTTGATGAACCCTCCAGGGACCAAACGTGCCCTCCTGTCGGGCTAGTCTTCACCCCACTACCTGCTCTAAGATGAGATCCATATCTTTTTTCCAAAACCAAACCTTCTTCATAATTTAGGGGACAAAAATTATCCGAATAGCCCACCATACCACAGATAAAGCAGAAGGTGGACAATCTTTCATATTTAAAGTCCACCCGGAAGCTCTTGCCATCTTTTTTCAAATTTGTCCCCTTCTTTAATGATCTATCCATCTTCATAATAACCCTAACCCGCATGTAAGGTTCTATTTTTTCTTTTCTCTGCTGATCATCATTTTTGACAAATTCCCCTAAAAAAACCCAACCCGTCTAGCAGTGCCAAGATTTACTAGACTATAAGAAAAATTATGAATGATTTTATGTGGTATATCATCAGACATAATCTCTTTAAGCAAAACTAAACTACGCTCAAACTGCCAAGGGCCCCCATCCATAACCCTCGTCATATCAAAACGATGATTAAACGAAAATAGATACCTCTTTTCCCCAATTTCCTTAACCGTCATACCTTTTCCAGGCCTCCAAAGAGCAGTCATCTTTTCTTTGAGCTCTACGAACCGAACCTGTCGATCGGTCAGTACCTGCCCAAGCACCGGAAAGCCCACCGCCGACTCCTCTGTCGGGACGTCCTCGGCCTCTCCATCATCGAGGTTGATTTATGCCTCTTCATCGCCGATCATCATCTGTTTGTACTTATCAACCACACTCTCCATGAAAGAAAATGGGTTGCTTTGCCGCTACAATGTCCGACTCTCTCGATTATATAGCCAATCCCCACCGCCTCCACTCCCAATCCAAGACCACCACCATCCTAATCAACCAATCACCTATGAGGCCCCTTGCCCCCAAACTACCCAATCGCCTAGGCCGCCCCTCACCGCCAAACTAACCAACCAAGACGTGCACTCCGAAGATCGAAGGCGGACAAATAAATGACGTAGGGTTATTGGCCGATAACCCTAGACTTTGCTATCTTGGTGACAAAGTTGAATTCTTCGCGTGTGCGAATGCATAAGCGCTTTTATTATAGTAGCACTTATATAATATTTGTTTTAGTACAAATATTATAGTAGTATTTATATATTACTTCCTCCGTTCTTTTTTAGTTGCAACAATCAACCTTATCACATTTGCCAACACACATATTTGGTCGTAAGTATATTTTAATCTCTGTTAATAAAAAATATTAAAAATCAGATTTTGAAAATTTGTAATGAGATGAATTGAATTGTTTTTTTTTTTTTGTAAAAAATAATTTCTATAAAATAATAGTGTAAAATGTAATCAAAGTATATCGTATGAACAGTGCAAAAAGTCAACATGTTGCGTTTTTATTTTTGGACACTCAATGTTAATGTCAACATTCTTGAATTGGGTTGAGATTCGAACCGACTTCCTCGTTGAAAGTGTCACAATGTTGCCATCAGAGCACAAGATATTTGTCACTAGAACTTATACGGAGTATAATAGAAAGATTATTTGATCATTTTTTTTTTGAAAAAAGACAAAAAGTCGAAGCTAGATTGGAATCTTGTAGCCGAACCTCACCACCAATCATCATCCGAACCCTTATCCGAACCAAAATCCAAATTAGGAAACGACAACCAAATCGTAAAATTACCCGCCTTCCCCACCTATCGGCGGGTGTCTCAAATCTTCCGGCAGCGGTGTAGCTTCCCCTTCTGCTCCGGCCTAAACCCTAATCGCACCCGCCTAAAAAATTTCCAACCTATTCTGTTAGGGAATCAATCGCCGCGGCAGAGTTATCGAAGGCCGCACTTATCCGAGGCTATCCTCCGCGTTAAAGCTATCCTTGTATCTTTTCCGAGAGTCCGGGAACACTCCCTAAGAATTCGTGTGGCTCTATATACGTACTATGTTTTTGCTCACCTCTCTTTTTCTTCTTCTTTTCTTTTGAATTCAAAGTTGTGTTCTCTAATTCAGTGTGCAGATTGGTGAATTGAAGTTAGGTTAAAGTATTGGATTGGATATGAGCTCATTTTAGCAGAACATGAGTAGATTATCAATCAGGCCGCGTCCACTTGACTTTAACAAGAAGCTTCCTATAGTCAAATCTTTCAAGGATTTCGATGATGACATTGAGATTCCCTCTAATACCCGCAACCAGATTCTCCGCCTTGCAGCTGAAGCAGCAGAAAATGAGGTTCCTTGGCTTCATCTGAAGTTTCTTTTTTCACCTCTTCTTACATAACTTTCTTTTACTTGGTTTCGGTATTTGATGCATGTAATGTCTTTTAAAGTTCATCTAGTTTGTTGGAAAGCCTTTCACTTAGTTATGAAACAGTTAGCATTAATGTGGGTGGTAATTCGGAATTAGTGGGATTTCTATATATTTTTTTGTTTATTATTGAGCTGATAAAATATTATCATGTTTATTAGGTACATCAAGTTTCTGTCAAGAAACTGGCTTCTGAAATACCTACTCCGGAGTCTGTCATCGTAGATACATATGAGACTGATTATTTGCCCAATTTTGCCCAACCAACGTCATATATACATGCAAGGGGAGGTATGTAGAGTACAGAAGTGTTTCGATATCAGTAAGTTCTCAGCTCTAAAGGGTTTTCTTTTCTAAAAAATAATTATTATAGCTCGAGCTGAGCTTGGGGAATTTGTGGAGTATGATCTTGATAATGAAGACGAAGATTGGCTTCAAGATTTCAACATAGAAAGAAAGGCCCTTCCAGCTGAAAAGTAAAGACCTCATTATGTCCTCGCTTGGTTGTAGTTAGCATTAAACTCCTTGATCTTTAATATTTATTTAAGGATGTTATTAAATTATTTCAGTGTCTTCAGTTAAATAACTTCTATTTTGTAAAGAACTTTACTGATCGTGCCAAAAAAATTCTGACCCTACATAATTAAGTAGTGTGGCTTCTTTTCTGGTCGTTTTCTGTTTCCTATATGACACTATTGTAGCATGGACACTTATTCCCCATGTTTCCCTGTTTAAAAAAATACTACCTTCGTCCCATTTTAAGTGTCTTAGTTTGACTTGGCACGGTTATTAATGAAGTGGTTGAAAAAGTAAAAGTTGTGGTTGAAGTTTGAGTATAATAAAGTGAAATGGTGTAGGCCACATATTTCTTTCCAAAAAAGGAAAGAAGACACTTATTTTGGGACAACCCAAAAAGGAAAGTAGGACAGGTAAAATGGGACGGAGGGAGTAATAATGTAATATTCATTTCATTGAGTTATACGCATGACTTCTTTCTTGTTTATGGTAATCTGAAAATGAAAGATTTACCATGACGTTCATGGGCACAAGATTTGTTAGCTTCCCGCATCTATCCCTTTCTCCTTCATGTTTTACTTCATTAGGTATGTGGTTTATTTGTTTCTCTAATTTGTCACATTTCTGCTTACAGGCTTGAGATGATACTGTTTAAACTCGAAGTTTTAGATCATAAGGCTCGTGAAAGAGCAGGAGTAATTACTCCTACTTTTGCTTCACCAATCCCTGTGCTTCTTAGTTTTGATGCTGCTGTTGAGGTGAAAGTCTTGTCTGGCTCATAATCCAAATTACATAAACTACTCAATTCTTTTATCTATAGCCGGACCCAAAATCTTTTGGGACTAAGGCTTGGATGTTGTACTCAATTCTTTTTTCTCAGAAGAAACTACATTCTGCAATCAGTGTCTTATATGAACTAAACTATATTAATATAGAATACGGACTATGTTTATTACCTTATTTTCAGCCTAGACCCAGACCTTTTCTATCATAGGTTGTTTTTGAATCATGCTAAATGTTGAGTAATGGGTTTAGACATTATACTTGTGCTAGAACGTGGGAGTTGTGAAATGTATTTAATCCAATCCATTCCTTATAAAGTTATAATGCATTTTTGCCAACTAATTCACACTGTTTTTTTTAAATGCTAGGCTTTGCAATCTATTTCCACTACATATGGAGTTTTCCAGTCTATTTATAGCTACTGGAAAGAAAAGGTATGAATGTGAGTTTCATAAAAAGTGAATGTATCATGTTTAATTTTATGTAATATAGTGATAGTTATAGTTTTACTCTTGAGAAAACATCATACAGACAGTAGTTCATCATCACCACTTGCCATCTTAACCCCAACTACATTTGAGTTGGTCATTGGTGGCATGAAATATATAGTGTTGATTAATTGTCTTGAATTAGTTAACACTATAAATTCATGGAAAGCAGTGCCAAAGTTTTATGGTGGTCATGATTATTTTTTTCTCTCATCATGGTTAAAAGTAAGAAATAACAACTAAAACCAACTTAACTTCATAACGCAAGGTCGATTGTTTAGATATTTCTCTTCTTTTAGTTTCTGAGAAATCAACTTTCATGCAATCTTATCTTATCTGGTTGGGGTTTTCATTTTTCTGTGCATCAGCGTGAAAGATGGCAGAAGCCCATTCTTCGGCGCTTGCAGGTTAGTTGTGTGGGGACCATGGACTCTATTAAACCAAAATTGTTGTTTTTCTGACAATCATGTTCCATACTATCTGTTCTCCAGCATCTGTTGCATGTTTTCCTCCAGCAAAACAGTGATTTATTTAGTTGTGGTCTCGATGTTGTTTAATGTTTCAATCTTTTGCTCCAGTGGAACTTGATAATCCAATTTTTGCTGTTTTCTTAATTTGTTTTGCAGCCACCTCCATCTGTTAATGATACTAACCCATATAATGTATTTAGACCAAGGGAAAAGGCTCACAGGCTTCACACTAGGAGGGTATGTGAATGGAGTGCCTCATTAGTCATTAGTACACTTTGTGGTGAATATTTTGCTGTCGTAGTTAGTTAATGCTTTATCTGAGCTCATCATCTCTGTATTTCTGTTTTGTTTTTCTTTCTTTATCCCAGATGCAAAGGAGGGAAAACAATGTTCAATCCTTTGAAAAGCTTCGCCAGGTGAGCTTCATGTCCATTTGGGATGCCAATTTTTTGTTTCTCTCTATACATGTACTTGGTTTATATTTGATATCATTTCTACTTCAATAAAAAAATAAAAATGCTTTTCTATGTGGGTTTAACTTCAATACAAGAACCAGAAGGCTTTTCCTATGTAGGTGTTTCTCCTTCCTTTCATATCTTTTTAATTTTTGCCTTCCATGTGGTGTCAACATATTTGAATGAAATAGAAGTTGCACACACGCACACACACACACCTGTAAAGGAGATAGTATGACCTGGAAAAGGTGTGGGGGTCATGTTTGCACTCTGTATACTCACATATCAAACTTCATAGGACACTCTTATAAATGTTATGGAGCTATAAGTTGTATACTTGTCTGTATTTTTGTATTGACACTATTTCTGAGACACACTTGTCAGAAGATAGTCAGGCACTTTGATTCTTGTGTTGCTGGTTGAGAGTAACAAATAACATGCCATCTTCAGGTTAGACGCAACCTTGAACAAGCAAAGTCCATTCTTGATACTCTTGTGAAGGTATGTTCCTAATGGATTAAGAAGATAATATTTATTATATGTGCCACTTTGCATAAACTTTCCATTGAATTTCCTGCAGAGAGAAGAGAAAAAACGAGACCTTATGGAGAGTGAAGTTAGCCTTCAAAGGATTCAAATGCAACATAAGGTATGCACAGGAAATTTTCTTTCTTTTTTCAGACACATAGTTAAGGTTTGCAACTCGCTTGGTCAAGAAAATAGGTCATTTTATGTCAGAAGTAGTGACCTATTTTATTTACATAGTGATGTGGCTCATAAAACAAAAATTTTCCTGTTAGGGAAATGTGTGCATCTTTTCCTAAAATTTGCGCGAATAGAAATGATCTACGAATTTATCAATTATGTATTTTCACTTTTGATATCAGTGCTAGTATATTTAGTATAGTCTTTGCTTTCCAGAATTTGTTGAATGAGATGCAGGACTAGATGAATCTTGACTCAATATCAGAAAACCTTATTTGCTTCCGATATCAGATTAGTCTGTAAATAAATAATTTAAGCGGATGCTTTAATGTGCTTCCAGAATGATACTGAGCTTCTAAAAGATATGTTTGCCCTACAAGGATTTCATTCATTTCCAAGCATGGTTGATTCAAGTGATGAGGAATTTGTTGACTCAGATGATGCTGATCTTAGCCACCTACCCAAACGACCTTATATGGCGGTACATAATCTTCCTTCCTTCGACCCAAAGATCAGGTTGGGTTCTGCAGGAAGCATGAGGCGAGTGTTCAAACGACGTCAGGCCCCAAATGGATGGCTCCAAAATTTGGTGCGTGTTTGCTTCTCTGGTTCATGTTTGAGAAGTTGGTCCATGTTCTCATTCCACTTTCCAGAATAAATTATGCATGTGTACCTTTTGATGGCATTCGCATTATCTTTTTATGGTCTTTTAAGACTTAGGATGGAGAGTTTTGAAAGGTTTTGGAGCGGAATGGTTTGGAGGCATTAGTTTTTATGTTGATGAATAAAATATTTCTAGAACCAATCAAAGGGTGACTGAACTGTTATGTTATCATGTATTATGATGTTATACAACTTTAATAAAATCTAGAATATGTACCGAGCTGTAGACTTAGCCCTCCAAAAATTCATCAAAAAACTTCTTCCGATCTTACCCTTAGACCTTGATTGGGAAGGTGGAAATTGAGAAAGGTGTGGTTTGTTGAAGATTTATTATTTTTGAGAAACCATTTCATTTTCTGGCCTGTGGCAAAAGATAGAGAAATGTTTTTGTGATTTTCAAAAGTGATAATCATAATGATTGATGGCCTCATGGCCATGACAATTATTTGAGAAATTTGGAAAATAACTTCTGGTGGTGGAAGGAGAAGTGTTTTAATGTCTTTTTGGTATTATTCTTTGACAATGGAGGTCATTTTTCATTGACTCCATTATCCTAGCAAGCCAAACACATGAAAATCTGAATAAGACTTCTAGAAGCCATTCTCCGCCTTCCTAAATGGTTCCGGGGCCAAGGCTGTTGGTATAGCAGTGGCCATTTTAGGTTGTGTGTTTTGCTAGGAGAAGAAATAGAGGGTGGAAATGTTAGGACTGAGGAATAGAAAAGAATAGAATTAGGTGAGAACTAGAGAGGAATAAAGGTTGTTCACTTGTTTGGTTCAAGAAGAAGAGTGAAAATACGGAAGAAAAATTTAAATGAAAATGGTTTTGTGGGCAAAAAATATTTTGTTAATGTCACCAACTTTAATCGGTGGAGAACACAATCCAATGAAGTTTTCTGCACTTTCTCTCATTTGAGCTGAGAACAGTTTAGGTATGGGATCCACAAAAAAGTTTCATACATCCAACCTTTTTTATGCTCTAGTGCTCTACCCAAACCATGGAAAATGCAATTCGTTTCTCTCCATTTGTTCCCCATCCTATGTCTCTTTTGTCAAACACACCTTTAGGTACAGGTAGTGATGGATATATATCTCCTTATAATAGTGGGGTAATTGCAGGAGCCTGGGGAACCTGTTTTGCTGTTCACAAAGCCTCTGGATCCCGAGAGACTGGCAGCTGCAGGCATTTCTATGCCTCCACTAACAAGTTCTTTTCCACGCTGTCGTGGGCGTATTGGCCGGGGTGGGCGACTGGTGTTTGATAGGTGGAACCCGCTTATGCACACACCAATTGATTGTGGAGATGCTTTATACGTAGCACCAAAGCCTCAACAAGCCTCTCATTTCTGACAGTCAATTCCCAAGCTTTACAGAGTACTGCGTGGATATCATGGAAAGCTTTGCTGGTAGAGAGAGGGAGAGAGATCAACCAATTGTTTCAAGTTAGTTGCTTTCTTTTCAAAGCTATTACACATTAGTCAGATAAGATACTCTAACTGTAATTTGTGGAAATGTAATATTTTTTGTTTAAGTTATAATGAATTATCATGCTCCATCACTTTTCTTGATCCGCTTTTCTTTTGTGGAAGTTTGTTATTACTTGCTCCAGCTTCCATTTTGACCAGTGTCACAATATCGAAACACAAGTCTTCTTACTTTTTGGTAGTCCCTTGTCTACCTTTTGATATTCTTTCTCCCATTTTTTTCATATACCAGAATTTCACTACCACTAGAACGTTGCTCTTGTATTGTGAAGTTCCCTCTGGCCTCTGGGCTTAATAGAAGTGAAAGGAGGGAGTAATTCTTTTCATATGTATCTATGTATGTGTAGCTTATATGTCTAGACTTATGTATTTATGTTTTTTTTGGCATGTTTGATCATAAACAAACTATACGAGAAATTGTCCTAAATAGGAGTAAACATGTTTTGGAAAATAGGACTGGTATGTTTTTCTTTCCAGAATAGGAATTGTTACCGACTTACTGGCATGATTGAAAAATGCTGTTATTAATGACAGTAAATACTGCTTTGTCAGTGCCTAGAATTGCAACTATTATAGTATTATGATAGTAATGACACCAAGATGACACTAAATATTGTCATGTTATTTTTATTTTGGTAAGAAAAACATAACAATCATATTTTGAAATTTCAAAACTTGTTTACTCCTATTTCAAGAACCTTCCAACGTACTACCTCCGTCCCACTAATATTGGGACATGAGCAGGTTGAACAGTTATCAAGAAAAATGAGTTTATGTGGTTGATATTGAATTGATATAGTAAGAATAAAGTAAGAATAATTTGGAACCATATAAACTTTACCAAACTTGGTATAAGACTATTTTAGCGGTATGTATCGAAAAGTAAAGATGGGACAATCTTAGCTGGACCAAAGGAGTATGATTTATGAATATACCAAATAACGAGGAGAATTAGGTGCTCGGCATTCTGATTTTTTTTCTATATGATTTGGCCAAAATTGTTCGAATTTATGTCTTCTTATTCTTAGTGTTTATCATCACTGTGTTCATGTGCATAATACACAGTCGTGTTTGTTTTGCCTGCATATGCCTCATAGTTGATCGAAACTTGGGGAGTCCAGAGTCATTATTGAGATGTTTCTACCAAGTATAAGGGTTAGAACTTTGATAAGACTGAAAAGTTTTATTCCTTCCTATAAAGTAGCCCTAATTCAAATATTTTTGTCCCAAAAAGAGTTAATTTGATCACTTTAGTTTTTCGTGTAATTTGTCAATATTTTAGCAAAAAATGTTGTGTATTGCTTAAACAAAATTATTATATTTGAGGATGGTAGTAACTAGTAAATTTCCTTTTTTAAGTTAAGTACAACGTAATATATTTGGATAATTAGTTCTTAAAAAATATTTGTAAGATTTTTTGTAAATAATTTGTAAGAAATTTTATGAGTAACAACAAATTGAAAATCTAAAATAAAAGTACTATGATTTTATCCCTTATATATAAGAGTAATTAGTGTTATGCTTAAGAAATACTGTCAATTATGCATTAATGCTTCATATTAATATTGGTAATACAAAAGTATGGCAATATTATTTTAGAATGACATAAGTTACTCCTATTTGGGAAGAAAAACAATATTCATATTTAATTTCACATTGTTTTGGGAAGAAAAACAATATTCATATTTAATTTCACATTGTTTTTATTCTTATTTTCAAAACTCCCTCATTGCCTTGTTTTCATTTTACCCGACCTTCAGAATACCACCAATCTATCAAAAGACCCTTGAAAAGTTTAACTCAAAGTCTGGCTTCAGTCTGGAATCCTTCCAATGCAATTTATTCACCCAAGCCCGATCCAAACGGGTCGAACAGGAGAAATTAGTCACCGGAACCTACACATTCTTTACACAGTAACATGAGAATTTATTCTGCATTGAATCCACTGTCAATTTTTCTGATAAGATTTCAGAATTATGACAGTGATAATGTGGGAGAATTATACATCATATTGATCCACATCATAAACCATGGGGATTTATTAACTAAGACAATAAAGGGAAGAGTTCAAGCTGCAGCTTCAGTGCAGGATGAAATTGCTTTGATGACAAAAACTGGATCACCAACTCTTATTAGCTTTGCTCCTCCTTTGCTAAGGGAATCAGCAGAAACCATATTCTGTCCAAAATACACCTGAAAATTGCATAAGAAGAAATTACAGTCAGCAGAAAAACAGGTTATATTGTTTGAAGTGATTAGGATTCATTTTTCTGAGAAGACGTTTACATTTCCCTTTTGTTTCTTGTTCGGAAGCAATACTTTGTCCGAACGAAACTGCTTTAATGTCACAGTTGGTTCACTCCCCACTTCTGCTGTTTCTTGATTGATTGTAGGTACCTGGAATGAAATACCATAACAAGTTAACATATAAGAGTCCCCTAAGATCTTATATGTGTTTTGTATCTTTGCATTCGTCAAATATCTTAACATATACTGAGAATTACATTTTCGTTAACGCATGGAAGTAACTTCTGAAACATTTCAGAACTTGATAAATCAGCCATGAAACATTTCAGAGAAGCTCAATAGTTGTTCTAAATAATTATAAATAGAAAAATACCTTGCAACGACTGCATAATTTAACACCATAGAAGGGGGACTTGCTTATGAGGATCTCCTTCCATAAATCCTCAGCATATTGCTCGCATCCTTCAACAAGTATACTGCGTGGATAATAGCAAATATCAAAACATCAAATGCTTGGCTTGGTTCAATGATGAAATAACCATCCTTTGGTCGAAAATGAATCAGCAAAAAAGGTGTGCCTAGTAGATTCACGTAGTATGAAGGGAGTGCATTCAGGGAGAGGTCCCAGATTCAATTAAAAAAAATGACTTGGGATGGATCCAACTCTCTTTCATTAGTGAGATAAAAGCTAATTTACATTCTCCCCTTGGTTGGTTCTGGGAGACCCTCAGGGATGGAGTGTCATCATTTTTTTAGTAGATTCACATAGTTTGAAAATCAAGAACCAATGGGACCCAACCCAAAGTCCGTTTACAAATTCATGAAATAATATATCCAAATTAGCCCAAAATTCATTTATAAATTCAAGAATTAAGTAAAAGAAATGCAAGATACTAACACAACTATCAATAGTTCATTACCCAAATTTATATGCAGTAATATGTTTGGGGATGTACAGTCATACATGCACATATGTAAATACATCTTATTTTCCATATTTTGATCATAGCTCAGTTTAACTCTTCTTAACAAATAGTCCAGCTTGCTCTGGACTCTGGAGGTCCTTAGGAATGAGGTGCATCATCTTTTATTATACATAAATACATTACTGGAGAGAATGTATATTAACATACAACCTAAACCCTACCTGAACCCCGGATGCCCAATTACTATATGCCCAACCCGTCCCATTGGAGTTCGGGTGGGTTGGGTACCCACAACAACCCGTCCTGCTGCTACAGAGAAACATGAGTGAAAACAAGAAGCCAAAAAAGACATACTTGGGTCTGAAACGATTCACTGGAATTGGCTCCTTGAGAAGGGCATTTAACGCATCTAATGACCCCTGCAATAAGTCACGAAGGAGCCTCTGTGAGACTTAACTCGGGCAGTCGGACAATAGGTTCCTTGAAATTAAATGCCCCAATATACATTTGACTAACTTGTGATATCATGAGGAATGGATAGCCATCACTAAATTTAACTTTGTATCCATTGCCATAGTTCGGGTCCACGGGTCTTGTTTCGGAGACTGCGCAATGCAGGAAGAAGAACTCAGACCAAAATTTAACTTTTTTTACTACATTAGCTGAATCAACTGATATTTGAATAAAAAAGCGCAAAAGTACATATTTAGTTATTCAAATGAAGATAAGTGACCCTTAATTACTTAGTAATTAACCTTCATTAAAGCGCACTAGGCGAGCGGGTTTCCCGAGATAGTTGGAGAACCACTGCGATGCTTCTTCACCCTCATCAAGTCCAGAGCCAGACCATTCCCACACTGTAATGGCCTCTGCTATTGTCTGAGGACAAGGCTTCATTGATAATGGAACTTCCAGTGCATCCATACCAGGGGCCCTAATTACTGCACAAGTGAATCCAGTTAGTTAGTTTAAGTTGTTAAAAGGTCAGTGTCTACCAAATCATATGGTGATAAAAGGGGTTTCAGTTGAGTCCTGTGAAGTACTGAAACTCTCAGGAACTCTCTGAACACTTGCTTTTCTATTAGATAATGATGTTTCATCACTTCCATGTTTCATGTTTTCACGTTTCCGTGCAACATAGGTTAGGTCCTATGTCAGACAAGTAAAGAAAAAATAATAGGTTAATAAGACTTCGGGTAATTAGTTAATACTTAATAGGTTGGATCCGTTTTATGGCTCACTTCGGTCACTCCTGAAGTATTTCAGTTCCATAAACTGGCAACTGGGGGCATTAAGAATAATGTATTACTTCCTTACCAAGATATGAGTTCTTATTTGGTTCCCAGCCCTCAGATAGTGCCTCATTTGGTAACTCAGTTTCAATTAGAGCTAGCTTTGGTTCAACTCTTTGGGTAATGGCTCGACCTTTTGAATTCACAACCATCCATTGTCTGTCCCATCGAAATCCTGCTCAAAATTTTAAATCCAAAACAGAATACCTTATGCAATTCCAAAACTCTTCTTTTAGTAAGTCTATACTCTATAGGTAATTAAGTTTACATAAAAAATTAAAAATGGGATAAATGTAAAAGAATAGTAAATCCAGTTTATGCTTGAAACTTGTTCTGCTTGATGAAAGCTTATTTTGGTATATGGTTAATCTAACCCTCTTCACCATGAAATTTTTGGATTTGTTTTAATGCAATTTATTTTCCCATGTTTTTTCATAGATAATTTGATACCGAAAAACCTAACCACATGGGAAACAATGGAAATTAAAATATCCCAACTCTTATAGGTTAATGCAACCACATCAAGGAAGAAATACAACTTGCCCAATTCATGGCAAACCAAGAGTTGTGATACTTAAAAAATATTCAAGCCTATAAATGACCAAAATTTAGATATTTAGAAATAACACTAAAGAGATACCCTCTCCATCCCGTAAAATTGTTCATCTTTCCTTTTTGGTCTGTCCACTAAGATTTCTCACATTTGGTAACATTTTTATGGTGCTAATCTTCCAGATCATTT